GGGTGAGCACACACGCCCTATAGCAAAACCCTCCCCAAAAAAAAAAAAAAAAAAGATGTAAACCTTTGGTAAGTTGGAGCATTTGAACATGAATAACTACAATGATCTCAACTCAGAAAACTAGGGTTAGAAATGTAAGCGTAGGTCCATGCTGGACCCAATGGGATAGTCCAAGGTTTGTGTCCCAGTGACTCCCTGTAATTCCAGGTATACTCGCTGAGACTGGGGTGGTCAGACTTGAGGACCTGTTGGGGGTGCTGTCTCTATTTTTCACTCTGTCTCTCTTTCTCATGGAAGAAATAAATAACTTAAAAAAATTAAATATAACTTCTGATTAATACAATACTAGAGAAATAGCAGTTCCAAATCCTGTTCTCCTAACGTTCAGAGTGACATCATGATATACAAATACCCCGACTTGCAGTGGGGTTCCACTCCAGTCAACCTATCCTGAACTGAAATATCATTCAGGCGGAAATGCAGGTAACACACCTACCCTCCCAAACGTAGCTTAGCCCAGCCTCTCTGTACGTCCTAAATGAGCCAGTCTACTGTTGGGCAAATTCACCTAACACAAGGCTTATTTTATAGTACGGAACCAGATCAGTTCAAACGTAGCTCACTTTTCTTCCAAGAAAGGAAAGGACTCAATCGTTTGAGAATACTCAGGGTCTGAGAGGGGTCTGTCAAGTCAGAATGCAAGTTTAAACCCTGAGACCACTTGTTAGCTGAAAGAGTCTATGAGAGTCCATGCCTGGTGTTTGGAATGGGGGGTCGATGCTGGCCAGGGGACTCTAGAGTCTATCTGCGTGACTGTAGGACTTCACAGTTGTGTGGAAGGAAAACTAAGTCCGTTCAGTGGTGTAGGAATCTTCACTTAAGAGTTTCTTGTGGGGGGAACCAGCAGTTAGCGTAATGGCTATGTCGCTGGACTCCCATGTAGTCGACCGCAGTTCGAGTTCCACACCCGGTGGCTTAAACTCACGCCAGGCGCGTGTGCGTGCGTGCCCAAGATCCTGAGAGGAGAATGGAAGAGAAGGGATTGTGGCGTGGCCATCCCCCTGGGGGGTGATTTCTCGCTTTCTGTCTCTGTATCTCTCTTTCTCTGTCTGGTGAGCGCACGCACCCTTTAGCAAAAATCTCTCCAAAAAAAGAAAAAAAGGAAAAAAGAGTTTCTTGTGACCTCCATCAGAGTTATCTGGGACAATGTGAGGTAGACTCCCTCTGTATCAAATTAGATTGTGGCTTAAACCCACCCTTATAAATCTCCCTTGCCTTTCCCTCTCTGGCATTTCTTTTTGTTTTTTTCTTTCTTTCTTTCTTTTTTTTTTTTTCTTTTTTCTTTTTCTTTTTCTTTCTTTTTTTTTT